TATATATATATATATATATATATATATATATATATATATATATATATATATATAATTTTAGTAACGCGTTTCATATTTTAAAATTCATTCTTATAATGCATTTCTTTCGAGAAATATTTTTCATTTTATTAATCGTTTAATTTTACCCAACTTTATGTAGTGGACTCGTCTGATGATGCAGAATACTGTTATACAAACACACACAAACACACATACAAAAAATGATAACACATTGAGTTTTAGATATGTGAATATTCATTTATTTAATATATACATAATTTTTTTATATATTATACATACACACACTTTTTTTTTTACCGCGCGCGAACCGATATTTCACGAACTTTTATCGTTGCCATTTAACGAAGGCACACTTCAAATCAGACGATAGGAATTTGGTGCCTGCTTAAAAATATTTTTCCATGGCCATTCTCTTATGATTTTAGCCAACGTAGATATACTGGACATTTCGCCATTTACAGACAAACCCTGAGTTCGATAATGTTGACGGTCTCTACTTTCTGAAAATGCGTCATACTACGTTAACTGCATTTATATATATATATATATATATATATATATATATATATATATATATATATATATATATATATATATATATATATATATATATATATATATATTCACAGTTGGGCACCTCGAGGTGGTGCAATGGTTAGCAAGCTTGTCTCGCTAAAACAATTACGATTGAGTAGTGAGTTTGATCCTCATTGGGTGCCATTGCTTTCGGCCTTGTGCCACATCTGTGCTACGCTTGGAAAATCTCTATATATATTCACAGTGTGGATATAGAAATCTGTGGTGAATGTACAAGGCAATTTGTAAAGTTTCGACTTTGGTAATATTACGCTGATGAATCGACATCATCAGTAAAGAATTTTATTTCGCCAGAACAAGATCGTCGTTAGTGTAATTAGGTGAAATATGATATAAAATGATTTCTCTCAGGCCAATGGTGAGTAAGTGAATGACAAAATGGAAAGATTCTATGTAGCGCGTTCCTTTAAAAAAAAAACTACTTCATCAGACTAAAATAATATTCTTATTAAGGGAATTATATATATATATATATTATGAAATGGACAAAGTCCAACAATTATTTAAGACATTTTTATATTTATACATTCTTTTTTATAGATACAAATATTTAAGTAAATGCTCTGTTTGTAATAAACAGTATTAACAACATTTATCGGCCTGAATATCTGAGAAATTGTCATAGAAAATATGCGTCCTCCGACAGGAATCGAACCTGTATCCTATACGGAACCGCCATATAGCCTGACGTGCTTTTACCGATTTCGCCACAGAGGAGCGTTTCGGTTAGCAAGGTCGATTTCATTGTTTTTAAACTACAATTTTCCATGATTTTCTCTCGTACATTCATAGCTGCTTTAATGTGTATCCAAATGTAAACAAATGACGTAACACATTATGAAATGGACAATGTCCGACAATTATTTTAAGACATGTTTATGTTTATACATAATAATTATCGGACTTTGTCCATTTTACGCGAAATTAAAATACATATATATATATGTGTGTGTGTGTATGTGTGTGTAGTGGAAGATGCGAGAAAATATAAACAAAACGTCGGTTGTAATTATATACAAATAAATTCAGAAGATGTAAAGATGCTATAATATAATTTTAAATTTCTGGTATCAAAACGGTCGAGGCGTCCAGCCCGAACGACTCCATGCAGCTTTCCAAGTGCGTTTGTTTTTCTTTTATATCGCTGTTGTTGTCTTAAAATATCACAAATGGTAATAAGAGTTGTTAAGAATGTTGAAATGTGATATGAAGCTGGACGCAAATTTATCGTTACGGTCTAAAACTATCGCTTCCTGTATCTTCATATATATAATTCCATCAATGAGAACAGTCTAATGAAGGACAAAATATAAATAGCGTTATATATTTGTGTTCAGTTGTGTTATTCAATTACTCACCATTGATGAGAGCAAATGTAATTCTCGGTGAACATATGTAATAAACACGCTTTATATTTAAGATAATTGCATCGGGATATAAAAAAAAAAAAAAGAAAAAACAGAAGTAGATAGGTCTGGCTATTTTACAGGTTTACACTCCTCCCCGGTCTTTTGATCAAGGGGTGGGGGGGTAGTTTATCCCTTGTTTCTTTTTTAGGATTGTTTCCGGTTGTTTCTAATGTCTTTTCCTTCTCTGTTTCTCTCATTAACCCCATGAGTATAAATGACATTATTGCCTTGGTGAATTGATTATATACATTGAGTTAGGTTGTTCGGTTCTTACTCCCCCCGGTCTTTTGAACAGGATTAGAGGTTTATCATTAGTTTCTTGTTTAAGATTGTGTTTTCAGTTCCGTCTAATACATTTTCCTTCTCTTTCACTCCTATTAACCTCATTGCGTCTTAGTGGCATTATTTCCTTCTTGGGGGTGAATTGATTAAAAAAAGAAATTGATATCAATTCAGTTTTTATATCTAGTTCATTTTATTCTTATTTTCTTTTCTTTTGTTCATTTCTTTATTTTTTCTTCTTCATGTGTTACGTCTCCCGCATTGTTTTATTATTAATTTACTTATAACAAGTGGGGAAATAAAATACCTCCATCATAAAATACCTGCTAATCGAATATGATTTCTAGATCATGGCATTTACAATATATTGTCAGTATAAAAATTATCACAAATACTTAAAAAATAGTTAAACATTTAAAGGTCCTTAAAATTTAACATTACACACAGCGAACTTCTATGCTACCAGAACCTTCGGCGTTAAAAGCTTGACGTGGAAAATGACGTTGTAATAGAAAGTGAAAATAATTTACTCAAATAAATATGCATTGAAAGTATCGCATTTTATAATTGACCTTACGATTAACACAAGACTGGACTATTTGAATTTATCACTTATTCTAACAAAATTTGAACTGAAACAATCTGGGAGACAAACTGTGAAGAATAAATAAATAAATAAAAATTAATAAGAATAATAAATACAGTAAAACCTATTTACATTATTCGGACTATTGTCATCTTTGTCGCCATATTTATGACAACGTTTCGGCCGTTATATGCTCTGGGCTTCTTCAGGTGGTTGGAATGTCGAACTGAATCCTTTATTTCGCTCATTGGGGTAGACTGTTCTAGCTCCTCGTGCCATGTCTAATGGATGGTTGCTGAAGACATTAAGTTTATAATACACAGATGTCCTCAACGACACATGGCACAGTGCATAAAGACGTTGGTTAGATCCAGTGACAGGACGCAAAGAATGTGAGTTCAATACCCGGTTAAGGCAGTGGAGAACTTGCAGAGGGGAATTAACAGCAGATAACTGACATCCATTAAACGTGGAAATTAACGAGCGAAATAAAGGGTTCAGTTCGACATTCCAACAACCTGAGGAAGGCCGGAGCGTACAATGGCTGAAACGTTGTAATAAATATGGCGACAAAGATGAGGACAATAGTCCGAATAATGTAAATAATGTACATAATACTTCATCTCAGAAATTTAGACATATGATTGTAAATAAGTTAAAGTCGCAAGTAAAAATTAAGGGTTCATCCGCTGAACGGAAATATTGTTTTGTCTAGCGAATGTCTATTTTGTTCACGCGAAATAAAATTCTTTATCTGATATGTGTAGGAATAAGTCATCTTATTTTTGTTTTTGTAAATTGTGTTCTTCATAAATTTAAATATTATGATTATTCTGAAGATCACTTGAGTCAGGAAACTGTAGTTGCTATTTCTATATCCACACTCCCTATTATTGAGTTCTTCTTCTTCATAAATATAGCAAATTTTATACAATATATATATATATATATATATATATATATATATATATATATATATATATATATATATATATATATATATCGTATCGGATTGCACTGTATACGAAAATGATTTACCGAGATAAATCAATAATTCTGTAGCTCAATAATAAAAGTAATATTTATTTTAATCAAAAAATAATTATTTTTTTAACATAATCTTATTCCTTGGATACGCACATAACTCAGACTATATCAGAAAACATTATATTAAATTTCGTTTTTGGCAGGCTACAGACTTATTGATCCACGCTTGTATACACTCACATATATACACACATACGCGCTCATGCACACCCACACGCAGTTAAATATTTTTAAATATTTTCTCACGCACATTTTTAATAGTATTGACTCTTAAAGTGCTACAATATCACAAATCCTTTTTTTTTTTTTTTCTTTTTTAGTCTTTGATACTTTCAATTTAGCTCTTTTCATCTTTTTACCTGTTAAATATTTTCTTCTTTTTATTTTCATGACTTCTTCTCACAGATCTCAATCCAGGCCTGCGTTCTCCAAATATACAAACAGTATTTTGTCTACCTCCCTTACATTGCTTTCATCTTTTAACCCATTTACTATCATTTTTAAATCAATATAAATAATAGTTTTAAAAAAAAGACGAAAAGAAAAAGAAAAGCCTTAGGATACACGATTCCTTCTCTTCATTTGTCTTTCATTAATCTAATATGCACACCATTTTCTAACAATCTTAATTTAGCTAACTAAATAAAAGTATTAGGATACACGATTGTTTTCTCCCTAAATCTTTCATTACTATGCAGCCCATTTTATATCGCTATTTGATCAGCTATTTATCAAACGATAGAATACGATTGCATTTGTTCCCTTTTCTTTCATTAGCTTGATATTACAACACATTCCTATCACACTTAAATCATAAAACTAAAATAAAACCAGCGAATGCACGATTCCTTTTATACAGTTCTCTTTTTCGGTAGATGCTATTTTGTTAATTCTTTATACCGTTTGGTCTTTTGAAAGTTCATAACATTTATTTTCTTATAAAGTACCTTCTGTTATAAATTTTCAGTATTTCATTCTACTTCGTCCATTTTTTTCAGTCTTTAAATACAGTTTTAAGAGTCAATAAAATAGATTTTTCATCAGGAAATCTGCTTCCGTCACCTGCACCCACATTCGACCACTTTCATCCCTTCGAAATTGTATTTGAAGGTGTAGCCTTTTGTCTTTGAATCAAGGTAAAGCAAAGAGATTGAATCGAGCTTTGTCGGAACACAGCAAGGCCGAGTCACTTTCTTGTTGTGCACGTGAAGATTGGCCCGTATAATGGCGTGCTTCGTCGGCCGCAGATGGTCGCCAAGAGGAAAGTAACATTTTCCACTGCACTCAAACGCCTGCAAAAGACAAAAATAATTTTTTTTTTTTTTTAATTATCAAAAGGAAATATTAAAATATTATCAGCGGACATTATACAAAATTATTCTACTGTTCTTCTCTGTAACTTTGAAAGGGCTTAAGTCATCATATGTCCTACTTAAAAAAAAAACCTTGCCAGCTCTTGGCCCTCACGTAGATGTCACGTATGACATATAACCCGTTCAGAAATTTCTGTCTGAATTTCTAAGATGTGAAGTTATCAATGTCAGTCCTCTTTCTTTTGTCTTCTTGAAGCTTGTTCCTTTTTTGTCCTTTCCTCAAATCCTCCTCATTCTATGTCTTCTCATTCTCTTCTATATTCGGTCCTTGTAGCCCTCACCCTGCGTTCTAGTGTCATTATCCCCTTGCTTTGGTGAAACTATTAAGAAAAAAATTAAACTCTTTTCATGTGGACTATTGTTCTCATCTTAGTTGTTATCACATAAGTTTCAGTCGATGTGCTCTCCGGCCTTCATTGGGTGTAAGTCGATCAAATAGCCTACAAGGTATTTTTAACTGGACTTATTTAATGTACGTGGGTTGATTGTTCGCGTTTAACTGCTCATGTCTCGGGATATCTCGTCTAGTTGTTATTTTAGTACCGCTCAGCTATTACTCACCTCGTTTCCCCTGAGTCTGAGTACACCATCCAACCCAGGGATTGAACTCAATTATTATGTCGTCTAATACACAAACCAACACTTTAATTCACCAGGTTATTATCCTTCATAAATGTCTAATGTCCAGTATTGTACAACGGCTTTTCAGACAATGATTAAAAATGGCTTCGAGTAAATGAACCCTGTAGGTTTGGGGGTGGACCGTAACTCTTCGAATATCGTGACCAGGTGCTACAGAATCACAAACAATGAACTTTACTAGAAAACAAAAGCCACATCACTTGATGACTTTCGACATCGGTAACAACTCCAATAAAAAATAATGACATAATCAGGACGATGACTTTCCACATGACTTCAAATAAAAGGTTAGAGATGAATGTCCCATTAATGCTGAAATTAGCGATAACAGTTTGTGGACTTTAGAAATCTATTTACTTAAGAATATTTTAATAGAAATATTGATTAATTACGGTTTGTTCAATGAATGCGGACAGTTTCCTGCATGGATACAGTCGATCTGACCATTAACAATAACATTTTCGCTTTTTGAAATGATCAATCTGTTGTCTATAAAAATAACATAGACAATATTCTAGTAAAAAAGATATTTTGTTAACTTAAGTCTCAGTTTTTCAATCATATTTTATGCAATATATTTATTTTGAGTTAGGCCTTTTTTCCAACTTAAAAAAAATCCACTTACTGCCTTTTAGCATCAAACCGACGAATCACAAACCACATGAATAATTCAAACTTCTTGAATATTTTGGATATTGTTTATTTATGAGACGATACACTGATCTATCGATATTTCTATAGAAAGTGTTTAGTTGAACTATATTCCTTAATTCCACCAGTCCTAACCATCGCAGCTAAGACCCGTCATGCTACGCACATTGTAGCGAATCACAATCATTTCCTTCGTATTCCTTTGGTGGGATGGAAGTTCCACTCGAGCAACTTCATCATACGAATCGCTAAGGAATGAAATCGACTCCCAAGAGAATGCTTCTCCGATCACTACTATCTTAACCTGTTCAAGTCAGAGAGAGTTAACCATTATCTTCTCCACATGATCCCCATAAAACTGAGCACCTTATTCTGTAACCCTCTACCTCAAGAGGTACTCGGAACTTGTACAGGGTGAACGTCATTGTAAGAAACATAGCTTGTATATTCGGTACAGACTTCACACACAAAGACAATATGCAGGCGTTTAAACGCGTTTACTGTTAATTGTATTTTTTTTATAGTTTCTAAAGTACTAATTAAATGAATCTACAAAAGCCGACACAGTCAATCTGTCTTTTTAGATAAATTTGGAAGAAGTTGGTTACTTGATCTGCTTACTAACCACTCATGTCCCTTCAGGTCATAGGCGATTATGGCTCTCCATAATTTTCTCTCCTTTGCATTTCTAAATAAATTCTATCATTTCTACGTCGTTCATTTTCTCAAGCTCGTCAAGTATGTTATGCGTTGTTTGCCTTTGTCCTCTTTGCCCTCAAACTGCCCTTTGAGTAAAAGATTTTCCAAGCTCTCCTTCCTCTTTATGGACCCCAGAAATTTCAACTGTATCTTCCTGATGTTAAATATAAGTGTCGTTTTTATATGCATCTTCTCTAAAACTTCGTCGTTGCTCACATGTTCAGTCTATAGTATCCTCAGCATCGTTCTGTTGAGCCAATTTCTGTTATCTCAAGTCTCTTCTTCATCTTTAAGGAGCATCCAACATTCACTACCATATGAGAGAACCGATATCACATAACAAACAGTTCGGTACGCTTCTCTTTCTTTCTAACGATGTTTTTTCTATCTCTTAATACTCTGCTTAGCTTTTGGAAGGCAGTTTTGTCTATCCCAATAAGTCTTCGGATTTCAGTGTCGCATTTTCCGTCCTCTTCTTGCTGAAAATAATTATTGCTTGTTAAATATTGTCAGATGTTTATTCCACTGAATGTCGGTTCATTTACTGTTGCTATGCCTTACATACACATGCTTATATTAGGTATATATAGACTTTATTTTGTTTTTGTCAATTTGCATATGTACACAGAATATCTTAAGGAAGCTAATATTTGGATTTCTTATATCAATTTTGAGTTTAAATAAATTCTTTTTAATGATGTAACAAACGTTTTATCTTCAATTCGTATTTCACAACGGAAATCAATGTCTAATAGTATTTATGAAAATGCATTAAGTCATAACTTGTAGATATTTATTAGAAAAGATAAATGGTGGTGAATAATCTTCTAGCAGATATTCCCGCGTCCTACACCGAATTTCCCTTTAAACTGTCCATTCAGTTTTCGTAAAATTTCGACTAATGGGAGTTCCAAATACATTTACATTTTACCTAAAGTATATATAAAAACAAATGTAAACTAAATGTAATCTGCTGGCAGAGCGGCCATGTTTACAGTATAAGAGCAACAAGAAAACTGGCGCAGTCAAGCTCAAACGTCGATCACGTGATCGCAATAGTATCAAGTATAAGCACCCATGAGCAGAAGGCAGTGAGATAAACCTAAACACAGTGCGGATAAATCTTTATTCAAGCAACTTCTTCGGGCGAACCAGTACTCTGTAGAACCGACTCCCAAGACGATGTTTTCCTGAGGACTACAATGTTAATTTGTTCATGTCTCGAGTTAACCGTTACCTTTACAACCTATCCGCATCAACTGTGCTTGTTGCTCTTTAACCCTTTACCTGGAGTGGCCTATAAACATATATTGTCAGCGTCTACATATCACATCTATCACATTATTTCTTGCCACATTTCTTTTTTTTTAATTCTACTTAAAAATAACCTGGATCATTACACCAAAATTCGTATAATGTTCATTAGAGATACAAGTTCAGAAGACTTCTATTTGAATATGAGTAACCCAATAAGAAGGATTCAGGATTAGGTTATTTTAGGCCGGCTACTATTTCTTTGTGGTACGACTCTTGGATAAAGTGCCTTAAAATGTGTAGCTGAGAAGCAACACAAGAATGTTATCTTGTTAAATACCACACACGGGATTCGCTTTCCTCTCGGCCTCTGATTAGGGAGACATATCACGCTCCGTTGCATTTCTGATATGTGAGACTGGTATGTATCGTTCGACTAGATCTAACTCAAAGCGTGGCCGACTTAAGCTTCTTACCATTTTTTATTTGCATCTGCGATATCTGATGGCATGTTCAAAGTCTCCTTACCATAACTGTCACTGCTCTCCCTGTCGTCCACTTAAAAAAACCCGTTGGGTAGGTTATTCGCTGTTCCCGTCTTCCACCTTTTCCTTAAAAATTATTCGTTACTTACACCTTCCGTCCATATAATTCTCAGTATTCTTCTGTAGAACCACATCTCTCTTGGCTCGAGATTTCTCTTCGTCTTAAAGGAAATTGTCCAGCATTTACAGCAGTAGCGGGTGATTGTTATTACATAGCATTTCGTCAGTCTTTGTTTCCAAAGAAACTTTACTGTTTGTTAAGGGGAATCTGCAGCGTGATCGGTCCTAACCTGGCATCTCTACTTCAGTCTCTTTCTTTTGACCTGGATTCTCTTCGCCTTTTCTTTAAATATTCTGCTTGTTGCAATGAGCGTTCCTCATTGGTGCCTTGACTTCAATTTGGTCGCAGTACTAGATTGGTAGATGGTTCTTAAAAGGTCACTTTTGAAATTGTTAGCTGTAGACATGAGTTTTATGTTAATAGTTTCTTCTCTCACACTCCTTGCTTGTAGAATTCTCTTCTGAATTCTTGCTTTCCTGACTGAATACTGTGTCAATCGTCAGCTTCTGTCACATGAAAACCTCACTTTTATTGTGCTTTCTTATTCTTTCACTCTCAGTAACCGCTTGCATCCTCTTGGCATCTATCCAATGGCGTAGATAGAGAGGGCAGTCTGCCCAAAGCGGAACTTTTATGGGGACCGCAATTTTGTGTCTGCTGTTGGTTGGCTAGAATCTTTTATAGGCTGTATTCAAATAAAAGTGGTTTTAATGTCCAGACAATACTCACAATCGAAGGATCTTTTCGCTTTTGAGTCACTTAAACTATGGCATATATTGGCCTGTCTACAGAGCAACTATTGACAGATGAAATAGTTTTTGACGATGTCATTAAAGGATTTGCTAACAAAAATGCAAGAAAATTTGCTTTGTAGGAACTTGTAATTTTATTTCAGAAATGAAAATGGTCTTACTATTTTACACTTTTTTCCCTATATATCATTTTTGCTTTTTTTTACTAATTAAAGTTTAAGTATGTTTGGTGTGTATTTAAAACATACAATATTTGAGTATGTGAAAATAATATTATAATAGTATGCAAACTAGTTTTATAACGTTAAGAATGAG